GCGAAACTACTTTGTTTGGCCTTCCAAAAGAGGACGATATCGCATTGTTTTCATATCAAGTACATTGTTTTCAAAATAATACATAATCAATCGATTTAAATGTTTCTAAATGAAATTTATTTACAATTTCAAAAATGTTTATTATTTTAAAAAGTATCTAACAGTAATATTGATATTTTTAGTTCTAATGAAGTCAGAAGTTTTTTGAATTGCAGTTCAGGAAATTCCTCCGATTTCAAATTCCATTTCAATGTCTAGTCATTTTAATAGGATTATATTTCAATTTCAATATCTTGTGGAGTGTTTCTAATTCAATTGTACTGTAGTCAGTCAAATTTTGCCTGAAGTAGACCATTCATAATCATCTTTTCAAAATGTTTATTTTATGCAAAGTTATGACATTGCAGTATCGTAAGTGGTCCTGAAGGTTATTGGCTTGTATGTGCTGTTCAGTGCATGTATCGTATTTCAGCTATGTTCGACCCTCCGGAGATTAACAGGATTGAAGCAGATGTTGTGGGCTGCTTAAATTACAGCTGGAGTCTTGCAAAATCTCAGCAATGGTTGACGACTGCCATCAGTTTAGAGTTGAGTTTGAAAACAGTAAACAACCAGCAAAACAAAGAGTTGGTAAGTGATTGCTTTTCACAAGAATGTTTGTCTAAAACTGCACGGTTTGTACGTCATTTTTTTTTAGCAAGTGTCTTAAATATTCATTCTGTTACAGGTTTTGCTCTTCACAAAAAAACAAGAAAGCAAAATAAATGTATGTGACCTTTTTCATGGTACAAATTACAGCACCACAATGCGAGTGAAGTATAGTTCATTGAGTAAATGGAGTAAATGGAGTGACTGGAGTGATCCAAAAATAGCCACCACAGTTATGAAGGGTAAGAAGTTACTATCTTACAATAAAATACTGGGCAACACTTTAGTTTAGGGATCATTTCTCACTGTTGACTAGTTGCTTGTTAGCATGCATATAACTAGCACAATCACTGTTTATTAGTACTTATAAAGCATACTGCATATTAATGCCTTATTCTGCAAGACCATATTTTAGATTCATTAATCCACCCCATACCTAAGCTAACAAATACCTTACTAACTATTAATAAGCAGCAAAATATGAGTTTATTGAGGCAAAAGTCATAGTTAAAAGTAAATGCTGAGAATTGGTTCCCAAACTAGGTCATGGTTTCCCAAACATTGTCGCAGAGGAAATGCAGGGGCTTCGTGAGTTCACTGAAAGCTAAGAATTACTCAAATCATAAAATGTCTAAATAAAATCAACTGATAAGACTACAATCAAAATAAAATTGAAATTGCGATATGTCTTCATTGGAGCATGGATTACAAATCTCAAATGTTTGTGATTACAGTGGTAATATATTTCTGTTTTCATGTTTTATAATCACAATTAAAATAATGTAAACCAAAACATTATTACTATTATTATTATTAGGTGAGAAAAGTGTTAACAAACACCCTTAAAAATCAACTATTTTCATTTAATTTAGAGAGTTCGAATGTTCGAATCGCACTTGCAATGTGTGACAAAATAACCAAATATATTTTTTACATGTTTGCATGCTGTGCATAGTCAGTTTGCAGTCTGAAACATTTTAATGTGCTCAAGACCATCTGCCCTAACCCAAACCCCCCCCACACACACACGCATGCACACTCACACACACACAGGTTTGTTTTTATGGTTTATGGGGACT